CAAATGAAAGGTACACATTTCGAGAATATATTTTAAACATAAAATTAACAAGTTTTAACTTTAATACTACATAATTTCCTTAATAACACAAAAAAGTCATTTTTTTACGCACAAAAATTTTTCGTACACTTCATAAAATGTTGAAAAAAAAACAACAATTCCAAAGATTTAAGGACTTTAATCTTTGGTGGGTCCTTAGTTGGCCTTAATGGAAGCTTGTAAACGTCGACACATGCTTTTTATAAAGTTGTTCGTTGTTGGAATCAAGTTTTTTCCTTCATTAGCCTTTTGACATACTTTAAAGGGACCGCCGCGTCCAAAATTTTTAATTTTTGATTTGTCAATAAATATAACGTTTTCCCAAAACAATTCCGGCTTCCTTACATGCACTTTTGCGATCTCCAAACGCATTTTTTGTTATAATCAGAAATCGATGGGTTTTTACGAACAACTCTACCATGTATACCAGCATTGTGCAGGGTGTTCCGGATGGTTTGGGAACAACATTTTTTTTCTGAAGGCCTCTCTAGCGTTTTAAGAATTGTTGTAGATGTTATTCTGGGATTTTGTAATGGTGTATTTACAATTGTATGCTCCTCCCGTAGTGTCAATATGTGGTTCCTTCCAGATTTTCTACGTTCTACTGCAAATTCAGTGATTACGTATTTTTTTTATAAAACTTCGCATTGTAGAAGGTGACTTGACTATATTTCTACTAATTTCGGTTTAATTGCGGTTCGCTCAATATAATTTTATTATAGTTTTTCGAAAATTTAAGGATAAGTCTTGACCCCGACCCATTTCGTCCAATTACAGCCAAAAAAAAAACAGCGAAACTAACAAAACAACTTTGAGAATAGTACACCGAAGTTTGCTCCGAAGTACAGTTCAAAAAAGAATCGCGGATTACCGTTGGATTCAGAAATATAAGTCAAAAAATATATGTCAAAAATGACGTTAAAAAATGACTTTTTTGTGTTATTAAGGAAATTATGTAGTATTAAAGTTAAAACTTGTTAATTTTATGTTTAAAATATATTCTCGAAATGTGTACCTTTTATTTGAGATATTGCATTTTAATTTCCGTTACGTATTTCTCGAGATATTAAGGAATAAACTTCCAACTCATGGGTGTACGAATAAATTATGTGCAGACTGTATATATATATTATACATTTATATATATATGTATATAAATATATATGTATATAGATATATATTCCCTTTATAAGGATGAAAAACCAAAATGGTCTAGATGTGCCATTCCTTCTCGCAAACTCCTATGTATACTTTATAGAGTTGGATAACCATCGTACTAAATTTACTTCAATCACACTTGACTAATCTAAACCAGAATCATTTTTTACCAGAAACCAACGCCTTCACTAAATATACCCGTTACTCGTAATGAGCTTCGTTTGACCTTGTATAAAATTACAAACATTATTTTGTCAATACCTATCGATTTACTAAACGTTTTTCTAATCGGAACATTATAAAGTTTCATCTTTTGCTAGCAATACATACATACATTTATTTCTTAAGTGACGTTGATGCAGTTAACAGTTAACAGTTTTATAACCTAGATTTATATCCTTTTGACTCAATTGCTATATGTAGGTACATACTACAATTGCGATGTAGAGAAAATAAGTGACATCTAACTACTGTATTTTCTTCAATTTTCCAATATCTTGTAAAAAAAAGAGTTGAATTATATGCATGTTATTTAAATTTGTTCTGACCCATCGTTGTCGTGTGTATAATTAATCACAATTAATTAATGTACAAAAACAGTTTAAAATTATTTATTTAGATCTCTAGATTCTTAGATACTTATCTTGCTTAAAAACCTTATCCAGATAAAAAATAAATAAATAAAGTACAAATAATAATATGAAATATATTTTATTCTACTACTATATAGCTTTGTTACCTTTTTTATTTGATAAAATGGTTTATTCTTCCCTAGGCTGCTTAACGAAGGCATCAATATTTTAGGTTTTGGTACACCTTTCTCAAGATTAACCGGTCTGGATATTTCCATTTTACGGATGGCTGCAACAATTCCTTTGATTTATATAATTGTTACTCGTAAAGTAAAAGGGCATAATGTATTCGTTAAAAATGTGTAACAGGTAAAAGGAAGCGTTTCCGGCTCTATAACATATATGATTTGTACACGGCGTCAATTCTTGTTAGCGGAATTATTATTTTAAAATTGATTTGTACTGTAATGCGTAACTCATAGTCGCAGGTATTGCCTATACCATAGGCCATACATATAGCCTATAAATATACATACATATGTATGTACATAAAAATATTTCCAAATGGGAAGTCAATACTAACGGGGTAGTACATGCTGTACTCCGCAGAAAAAGCAAAACACGATGTTGAAAAGTTTATGTAAGTTTATGTAACTCTGGTTAATGAACCATAGCAGCTTTTAAAATTGTAGTTCGTTGTACTTCCATTACTCCTACATTATCAACAAAATTTAAGGCCTTTTTGCCAGATATTTTTTTCCGATATTTACATTTACATATTTACATATATAAATACATTTGTACATATGTACATATATTGAATGTAATTATTGCTGTAGCAACTTAAAGTTACATATTTGGCATACATACATATATAGTACATTTTTAAGCGAAATTAAATATTAAATATTTTAATATTCTTACAACTTTCTTACTGTATGTATGTACGTACATATGTACATATGCTTGATCGCACAGTTTCCAGGCTTTTCTGAGGTTCATTCTTACATACATATGTACATATGTATGTATATATGAGATGAAGATATTTTAAATTTATGTACATATGTATGTACATATGAATGTATGTTAATCGATGCCAGTACTTATTGTATTTATGGAATAAAATGTGTTCGTATACATACATACATACATATCTAAATGGACAATTATGTACATATGTATGTGAGTACTTTTATGTATGAAGGTATTAAAAGATATCTGGTTTTTGTGTTTCTCAGAATCGACAAAAAGTTTCTCATAAAAAGGAATGGGCATTGCTGTATGACCACATGACGTCCATACATACATAAATGCATACGTGGATACATATAAATGTACGTATACACGACCACATGTATGTACGTACATACATACATACCATGTTATGTGTATCATATACATATTTATCTGCAGAAGTATGTATGAGCTGATATTTATACACTTAAAGGTTTCATTGTGTTAACACATATGTTTGTATGCATACATGTTTAAAATTGGTATGTACATATGTATGTACATGCATACACATAGATATATTATACTTATCTATGTATGTATGTATGTATGTATATACATTTAAACTAAAGCAGCCCAGCGTGTGCTCGCTCCTTTCATAGAAAGTCTTGAATAAGACGTTAAACGACAAAGGGCACATATAGACATACATACATATATACGTACAAACGTACGAATGTACATTTAAAAAATGTGAACGCAGAGCGCACAGCAAGAAAAGTGTAATACCCACAATACCCTCAATCCTGCTGTGCACTTGCAGGCAGGCAGAAAAGGTGTTTGTATGAGTCCGGGTGTGTATGTACATACAATTCCAAGTTACCAATGTATACACATTATGACTGCCTCTATTTTAAATAATTCATACCTGAGAGTACAGGTATATCGCAAATACACATATATAAGTACATACATACATATGTTGCGAAGAACGATATTTTCGGTAGTAAAAAAAAGGCAGATATTAAAATTATATTTTTTCTGTAGATGCAATAGTACTTGGAAAATAATAGTAAAAATCAATGGTATTTTTCAAGCTATAACATTATTTCACCCTTTCAGAATATTAACAACGTTTTTAAAGCAACCATACATATTCATATATATGTATGTACAACATATGTACTACATCTTCAAATGTTATGAAACACTGAAAAATAACACTTCATATTGGTATCCTTTTTAATTATACACGTTAATTAATGAATAAAATTGTGCACATACTGAGATCTCGAAAACTATAAACAGTAAAAAGTAAGAACTAAATATGCAGTTTCTAGAAACCAACGTTACATGGCATTGCTGTTTTCCACGCCCAATTTAATAAATACAGCTAACGCGTTTGACCGCCACTGTTAATGGAAATTTTTTTAGCTGCTAGATTTTTATTTTAAAAGTTTCAATTGATCAATAATCATTTTATCAAATAAGATGATTAAGTTATTAAGAAATTAAAGCCAACAAGGGCGACGACTTCAGTTTTTAAATAATATTCAGTGTGTAGTTTTATCAACAGATGGCGCTTTATTATACATGAAATTGTTATTGTTTTTTGCACTTCTGTGTGATGAGACAAATAAGCAAGTACATACATACACAATATTCGGGATATTTTTCTTTGAGATTTATATAATATAGTCTTTTATTTAAATACATCTTATATACATATACATATGTATGTATATTCATATGCGGATGAAATATGTCTGCGTACATAATCTTATATATATATATATATAAAAGTATTCAAGAAAATATATAGATCATGGTAAGGAAGAATTACAAGTGAGAGTTTATAGGCGTGTCTATAATGTTGTTCGTATTTTACATAAACTATAATTTGAGTCTTAAAGCTCAAAATTTTGCTTTAGAGTGAAAAAAGAAACTTGTAAAATAATATGTTAGAAGCTTACTTTGGCGAATTAAATAAAAAAAAAAATCCAAATTTTCAGCACTGTAACCAAGAAGTATTTTGGTGCATGTGTGTGTATTGTGTAGCCATCTTCGATCTACCCGCCTTCGTCGACTGTTCGTGATCTGTAGGTACACACAGATACTTCGACCAGCTATCCACTTGTTACTGTATTGTTGTTATGTTTGTCTTCGTGATCTACAAGTATCTATGTAAGCTTCGGTACCAGTGTTCGTGCTCGCACAATTGTATTTGTGAGAAGAGAGGAGATCCGACCTGCTCCATCTAAACTCACGAAGCATTGCAAGAGTTGTTCAGTCCACTCGTAAGAAACACAGCATTAGGACGCGCATACAAACGTTATTGACTTTAATATTATTATTAAAAATTAACAATTTAAAAACAAACTTAATACTTTTAATCTGCTATCATAAAGTATTTATAATAGATTGGTGATCTAAGAATTTGCGCATATACTGTTTAAATTACCTATAGCAAATAATGCAATACAACAATAGTTATTAAAACATGTGCTGAATATCACAATTTTAGGGAGCGGAAACAACCTTTAAAAAATTGTGTGAGTGCTTAATAACGTGCCACTAAAATGTTTAATTTGCCGACGGTGAATCCAAAATAAAAGGAAACGTTAATTTTGTAAACAATAAAGGGTTTCCAATATATGACCACATACAATGGACGCATACGCCTTACCAACATATTTTCCACTTGCGTAAGTTATCTTGGACAATATCGGGATCTAATTTTTAGTAACATAACAAATAGTTGACTTAAAAAAATTCTCACGCTCCAAGTTTTAACGTCAAAAAAGCATCTCATGTTTCTTGTAGTACATAACATAACATTTTAAAAGTTTTAGCTGACTTTAATATTCTGTTTTTTTTTTTTAACAATGCACAAATATTTTGAAATGCAAATCCGAAAGTTCAACAGGTGGGTATCTGAAGCAGATTTCTATATACCGCAGCAAAATTTAAATCCAAACAAAGTTATCATCCACTAATACAAAATTATAACGGATATAAGAAAGTTAGTGTGTCCAACTAAAAATGTAATATAATAATTCAAAAGGGTTTATTTTGTTTTTTAAATTTACTTTACTAGCACATATTAATTATAAAAACTATAAGTTCTTTTTCTGTAGATATATTTTTCTGATTTTCTGTAGATATCATTATAATTATAAAAAATATAAATTATTTTTCTGTAGATATTCTGAATTGCAGTATCTAGCATCCAGAAGAGCTGCAGCCGTTGCTGCAGCGGCAACGGCTTTACCGGGAACTCCCTGCATTAACCACGTTCACACAACAGACGTCTCGAGCTCGGTAACAGTTCCATCCATGATTTCGGCGGCTGAACCATCGGAATCAATTGAAACGACAACTCCAATTCCAACTCCTTTATGTAATGGAAACACTCTTCTTGCAAATACTGCTGGTCACCCTCACAACAATCCGCACCAACATGTTCATAATCTAAATGTTACTGGAACGCATCCACATGACTTTCATCCAGCCTATAGAATTCCAGGATACATGGAGCAATTGTATTCTCTTCAACGGAACAGTTCAACTACATCATATCACGGTATTATGTTTTTAAAATATATATATATAAAGAAAACATCAGAAACTTTATTTTAAATGTTGTAGATCCTTATGTCAATTGTACATCAGCTTTCCATCTTGCTGGACTTGGTTTGGGATCAGGTGATTTTTTGGGTACCCGAGGTATGGGCTCCCTTGGTGATTTGCATCATGCAGCTGTAGCAGCAGTAGCGGCAGGATCTCTAGCAAGTACGGATTTTCACTTCAGCATTGATGGAAACAGGCGGTTAAGTAGCCCTCGGCCGCCTGGCGGAAGTATTCGTGCAAGCATCAGCCGCAAAAGAGCCCTATCATCTTCACCCTATTCTGATTCTTTCGACATCAATTCAATGATAAGATTTTCACCAAACTCCTTAGCCACTATTATGAATGGGTCTCGAGGAAGCAGTGCGGCTAGTGGATCGTACGGTCACGTTTCAGCTGCTGCTATTAATCCTATGTCTCATGCGCATTCAACATTGGCACCACGTCTACAACAAATACAAGCGCATTTGCTGCGTGCAAGTGCAGGTCTGTTAAATCCGATGACTTCCCAACAAGCATCTTCCGCCGGGTTTTCTATAAGCCACACTGTAGGCGCTGCCCTAAGCTTAAATGACGTTCATGACATACCTAACCGCATAACATCTTCGACAGTAAGGCTAGTTAATGACGACCATAAGCAGGTAATATAAATTTTAACAATTTTTAAATGTATTGCATTTAACTATTTAATTTTCATAGCTAAAATGTATAGATGAAGGAAAGGAAAAAAACCGATCGTTTAAAAATATTGTCCCTGAGCAACCCTCTTCGACATCGGGCAACGTCGCTCAAGTAGAAGCCGACAGCGCCACATCACATTTGTCTGACCGTTGTTATAATAATATAGCAAACAAAAATAAAAGTATTTCTAGCGATGTAAAAATAACTAGCCGCTGTGATGACTTTATTAACTGCGGATCAGCATCAACAACGTTAAATGAATATGATTGTGCCAATGCTGATACGACAGATATCAAAGATGAGCCCGGGGATTTTATAGAAACAAATTGCCATTGGCGCAGTTGTTCTATAGAGTTTATTACGCAAGATGAACTTGTTAAACATATAAATAATGACCATATCCAAAGCAATAAAAAAGCTTTTGTCTGTCGGTGGGAAGATTGTACACGTGGTGAAAAACCATTTAAAGCGCAGTATATGCTCGTTGTGCATATGCGTCGTCATACTGGAGAAAAGCCGCACAAATGCACTGTAAGATAGATTTTTTAATTTATTTTTATAATTTACGTACTACATTTATTGGTGTGTTTATTATAGTTTGAAGGCTGTTTTAAAGCCTACTCTCGTTTGGAAAACCTGAAAACTCATTTAAGGTCACATACAGGCGAGAAACCATATACCTGCGAGTATCCGGGATGCAGCAAAGCGTTTAGTAATGCTAGCGATCGTGCAAAGCACCAAAATCGAACTCACAGCAATGAGGTAAAACTTTACAGCAGTTCCGATAATCATATTTTCATATTAAATGTTTTATAGAAACCTTACATTTGTAAAGCACCTGGCTGCACGAAACGTTACACCGATCCAAGTTCTTTGCGAAAACATGTGAAAACAGTTCATGGTGCTGAGTTTTATGCAAATAAAAAACATAAGGGCTTACCCTTAAATGATGCTAATTCTAGAATGCACAGAAACAACAATGGCCATGGTCGACATAATCTCCAGGAGCACAATATTGACTCAAGCCCTTGCAGTGAAGACCTGCTTATGGGAAAAATGATTGAAATGTCTAGTCCCAGCATTAGATCTGAATCGGATGGAAGCTCGCCCCATTATCAATTAGTAAATGGCGTACGAGCATCAGATTGCTTGTTTCCATATTCATCAGATGAAGTTGTAGAAAATTCAACTTTGGATGACGGGTGGAATTGTGATGACGACGTAGACGCGGCTGACCTACCAATTGTGTTACGTGCCATGGTAAATATTGGCAGCGGAAACGATTCTCCATCGACTATTGGTGGTGGAGTAATGGCAAGACAGCGGTTTAGAAGTCGCCTTCAAACTAAAAGCATAAGTTCAAATACGGTAATGCTCTGTAACATTCCGGAAAGTAATCGGACTATTGGAATCAACGAACTTAACCAGCGTATTACTCAACTTAAGATGGAACCAGGTACGACTGGTGATATTAAAATTCAAATACCATTGAATGTGGGCATAGACGGGTTGGCAGAAGACTTATCACAGAATCAAACAAACTGTCGTACAATATTGAATAAGCAAAATCCTCCCAACGTTACTAGCTCGCGACAAGCGCAGATTCGCCGCGATAGTCAGAACTCCATTGCAAGCACTTATTACGGAAGCATGCAAAGTCGTCGTAGTAGTCAATCATCGCAGGTATCTTCTATATCTACAATGCGACCTGGACCTTCGCACAATACGACCACTGCTTCCTTCTATGATCCGATTTCCCCAGGATGCTCGCGGCGCTCTAGCCAAATGTCTAATGCTGCCAACTGCTATGCACTTGCTTCAACATCAGGATTTCCTGTAATAAGCAAGGTCTCTGAAATAAACAGCAGCCCACCTGCTCCATTTAATAAACCAAATCATGATGTTCAAGATTTCGAATTTTATAATAGCAGTCTTCCTCCGCCTCCATCATCTCATTTAGTTGCCACTAACTTAATGCGATTGCAGGGATCAGGTTCTGGAACTTGCTATCAGAATTCCAATGGCGGCCGATTTTCTGTTCCCAGTTCTATGCATTCTCTACATTTACACAACAACAAACAGATAGTAGACTTCGAAATTGATAATCAAGTGCTGAGTAATATATTTCGTCGTCAGTCTGAGCCCGTTGGAAATATACATTTTGATCCCATTACAAATGATCCTCGCTTAAGTACCCAAATTCAAAATTTACATACTCATATTGGAAAGGATAAAAACTTAAATTACACCTGCTTTAGTAATGAAAATAATTTAAATAAGGTAGAAAGCAATGTTCTGTTAAAGACTGACCCGACGATGAGCACAGACCAACATCCTAATGAAAGATTCAATCTAGACGAAGTAGAAGAACTTATACTTCCCGATGAGATGCTCCAGTACTTAAATTTGGTAAAAGACGATACAAATTATGCAGAGAAAGGACATGAAAAAAGTAAACGAATTTCATCATCGACCTCTAACTCTCCAAAGGATATACAATCAAATACATCAAAATTGTCTACGCAAGAGAAATTTACTATGACAACGATCGGGAGCCTATCTGATCACCGATATTCAAATATCATATCTAAGCCAATTGAGCATGTGCGTGCGAAATGCGTTAGTTTGCCTCAAGAGCCAGATAAGGTTATAAACATGAATTATGATAATAAACAACAGCCATTTTCAACATCAGTCTATCAACGACACTTAACAAAATCACATCAGAATCAAATTATTGACTCATCTATGACAAGCGTACCAGAACTAAATGTATTCCCAATTTTTCAACGAATTGAACCAGAAAATGTTTCAAAGATACAGAAAGGTCATGATAATGAAATACAATGTGGCATCATAAGCCAGTCTCAAATGTCTCCTTCTATGAATAAGGACGCTAAGATTTCAACCTTACCGTATTCAAAATGTTCTTCTAACTCAAATATACAAAACCAAGTTAGTGACACTAATGTGAGTAATATTAGTGCTATGCATTCAGATACATACCAGCGTACTCTACAATATGTACAAAGTTGCCAAAACTGGATGGAGACAAACAATACTTCAGACGATCAAATTCAAGGTGTATCTGGAATGCAACAAAATAGCACTGTGTGGCCTGATGTTAGCAGTTCTACACATCCGTATCCTGGTGAAAATATGGTAATCAACTATATGACAACATCCCTGACTTCTTTGTTGGAGGAGAACAAATATCTTCAAATGATGCAGTAGAACACTCCAAAATAAAAAAATTATCTTAAGCCACTCAGTCACAATATATTAATGTTATGACCATAACATCAACATTACAAAATTGTTAACAAAGCAAATTATCTAATAGACAGTAGGGAAAATCAACACATTCGAATAATTCTCTGAATTTATAATCTTCTAATCTCTTAATATATTTAGTTTTTATTTAAAAACGAAATAAACGCAATAAATATGTCTTCCTAATTGTCATAAATTGTCAAATGTCTCTTAAGTAATAAAAACTTTTATTAATTGATATATGTATTTCTATAAATCTTTAAAAATAAACCAGAAAAGCTATAATTGCTTCAAAAAACAAATGTATAAAGTGTATTGTGATGGTTATAACTAATTGTATTGGTATATCAGCATAAATAGAAGCATAGTCTTATAAAAGATCCTGATTTGTAATGATTACGCTAAAACAACCAACAGCCCAACAACCACGGCCTGTTTTTGGTTAAATTTTCAGTTCAGAAGTTCCGAAGTCTGAGAACTACTAAGCTCATGATTAAAGTAAATGCAACTCAACACTAATTCATGCATTGAGAACTTTAATAGCCTTTTAGTAACAGTGCTTTTTCAATGAGAGTCATGAGAGCAACGTGAATGTCGAAATAGATAGGTAAGTGTTTACAGGGCCTAATGATTATTGCGGTGCTACAACATAGTCGTGCCGTTAAAGGCGGATTTTGGTTATATAATTCTGTTGTTTCTCTGGGAACATTTTTACTTATTTCATACGTATCTGGTTCACTGATGGACAAAATTGGTGTGTCGCAATTACTTTGGTGTGTTTACAGACATTTTTATTTTCGTTGGCAGAAAACGACACCTTATACACTTTTACTAGCACCACATCCCATTTCCCTGATTATCTGTCGACTTCCATTTTGTTCAAGTTTAGGCCGTTCTGGATTTCGTCTTCCCTATCAGTGTCATCAGTCGATAGGGCCGCAAAGAAGTTCTTATTAAGGTTGGTAATCCTGAAAATAGAAAAATATTTTTTGTAGCACAAAATAGATCATATAAACCATTTAACTAACTGACGGTAAGGTCATATAAGGTAAATTTGTACATAAATTACTTATAATTTACCGATTTTAAATGTTGTGGACGTAAGAGTGAGAACAGCTTAAAGTTGCCAAGTCTGGACTTCTGAATAAATAAATAAACTTGCGTGGAGACCTCAAGAACCTGATTGCCTATTCTCATCTTCGTATTATTTGCTCCTGAGACCTCAGCGTTCATACGAACGGACGGACATGGCTTAATCGTCTTCGCTATTTATACTGATCACAAATATATATATATATTTTTTATCGGAAACGCTTCCTTCTACCTGTTACACACTTTTCAACGAATCTAGAAATACCCTTGACTCTACGAGTAACGGGTATAATAATAATTAATAATCATATGAATATAATTTTTCGTTTATGCTGATTTTACTATTCATTTAAAACAAACCTTTAAATTAATAAAATAAAACAAGGTGAATATACAACGACGATTTATAGAGGAGATTCATTACACAAAATAATTTTGCGGCATTAGTTTGCATGTGGCGAAAATGTTTTAAATTTTAATTCATTTTCAAATCTTTTCAAGCCTATGTCCCTTAATATGCAAATTCAACTTATCGATCTATGGATTGGTTTTCAAACAGCTTTACCTCAAAGATGTATTCCGTGTGAATACACTTTTTTATGAGAATACAAAAAATAACACTGCGAATCGTATTCGATTTATCGATAAGCCCAATTTACTTTTCCCTGCTCTATCGTTGATAGTGTAGACACTAAGCGTTGCTTTGAAAATTTGTTATAAATATTTGTTTACTCTAATTAAATGATTTTATACAAACGGTCTTTAAAAAATATAAATTATCGTGATGGCATATTATAAGTTAAAACTATTGTGTAGATTCTTATAGGCTAAAATAATATAAAAAAATAATAATAAGAACTTACCAATGGACCTACAATGTGATTGAAAACGATGCTCAAATACCACTAAAAGTTTATACACAAATTTTTTATAAAAACATTAACAAATATGTTGCGAAAAAACTTTTATTTTCCGGAATTCCTGATAATAATTTATGGCCTGTGCATTATTACCATATTCAGTTCGCAACTCGGTTCCGTAGACTGCGCTAAAGAAATGCCGGCTCAGATGTCCTTTCATTCAAATGACATTGTCGCCCAATTTAACCTTCCCCCATTATCGGCACCTTCAGCAACATATAACTATGGAAACCGTACAAATGGAAATAATATAGATAGTGATATAAATTCTCAGTTAAAAAACTATTTTACACATCTGAGCTTTGATTTAATGCACAATGTCTTGTTTGCGGGAGCCACGAATAAAATACTCAAACTTAATGAAAACCTTCGAGTGCTTGCTGAAGCTGTAACTGGACCCGTTAATGATTCTCCTCAGTGCCACGCAGGAGGCTGTCCAGAGGATATTGAGACATCGCTGGTCAATAATTACAATAAAATTCTTGTAGTCAGCTATACTGACGATGGCATTCTTATATCGTGTGGCAGCATTCGGCAAGGTAATATCCTTAATAAATGTATATATAAAAAAAAAACATATTGTAAGGAAAAGAAATTGATGAAAATGTATTTATTTATTTGATGGGGATTCCGTGCAGTTACCTAAAAAAAGTTTCAGTCGTTATTCCTCCTAAACTAAAAAAGATAACAGAAAAATTTAAACGCAGTATTTTAATAGGGAGTATTAATATGGTTATTAAGCTAAAACGATATTCTAATCATAAAAACAAAAAACTTATTATAATAAAATAAGTTTAAATTATAATAAAAACAAAATTTTCAGCCTTTTTCATTCCCTCAGCTTATTTTGTGCACCAGATTATACTTAACTTTTTATTTGTAATTTAAGAGCTAAAATGTATGTCCTACTTTCTGGTTCAAGACAGCTTTGAGACGATTTACCATGGAAGAAACTTACTTTTTAGTGGATTCCACTGTAATTTTTTGCCTGTCTTCCATAAGAACATTTTTTCGATCGTTTTTGTTCGATCACAATTAAATCTGGAGACTGTACTATCCTTATAGCAACATAAGGCAGTTCCAGATAAGTCATGACTTCCCATTTCCTGATGAAATGGGAAAAAATTAAGGAAAACTGCAAATACTGTTAGGTAACTGCACGAAATAAGTTTCGAGCCACTGTACGTTAAAGGAAAGATTGGAACGACTTTTTACATTGTTATGAGATTCTTTTGTTTTCAATCTAAAACAAAGGCTTTTAAAAATGTTCTTATTCGAAATATTTAAATTAAATCCGTCTTTGGCTGCTTGGCTTAACACAATATATAAAAATTTATTATGAAATTAATGTTATAACACCCAACGCCATAGCCAGTTCAAATATAAGCCAATTTTATTGTTGCATCTCGACAGAACCTTTTATGGAATATTAACTAAAAATTGTACTGGCAAAGTAAAAGGGTCATCTGACCAAACCCACTATAGGGCTCACATATCTGTTCAGCATGTTGATTCTGAAATGAAAGGTTAGTAGGTAGGTAGGTAGGTTAATAAATTTATTATTAGCAGACAGCCGAGTCACTTGATTATAAGGTTTTTGGTTAAAGTTGTGAAGAAATATAGGAAGAACGAAGATAAGAAGGACAATAAAAAGCGTTGTAAGTCAAATGCACTTCACGTAGAAGTTCTTCGAGGGTCTAACACGGAAAAGTACATTTTTTTCTAAGAACAAGGTAATTTCGCCAGGATGAAAGAGTGTAACGGGAAGCAATATATGCCTTAAAGACAAAGTATATGACCTATTCAGATCGAGCAGAAGATTTAGGTGCAGAAAAAATGAAAGATTTTAGAAAACTATTAACGGAGGTGAATTATCAAACATTCATAAAACGAGTCAGTGTAACAACATTTCATTGATGACACATTTATTTTCTCATTATGTATTGTATTCTATTGTTATACGCGTTACTCGTAGAGTAAAAGGGTATATTAGAATCGTTGAAAACTATGTAACAGGTGGGAGGAATAGTTTCCGACCCTATAAGGTATAAATATTCTTGATCAGGATCAATAGCGAAATCGATTAGGCCTTGTCTTTCTGTCTTTCCGTCCGTATGGATGCGAAGATCTCAGAAACTATAGAAGCTAAAAAGTTGAGATTAGTAAGGCAGATTCTTTAGGCCACTACGCAGCGCAAGTTTAATTTAGCAACCTGCCACGCCCACTCTAACACCCACTAACTAAAATTGCTGAAATCTCAGGAACTATTAAAGCTAGAGATAGAGTTTGATTTAAGTAATAAGCATCTTATGGTGGTAAGCATCTTATGGTGGTACCATTATCCCTCCACGCTTACTCTTACGCCCACCAATCTCGAAAGACGGTTGTCGCTTTTTGTAGAAAAACTGATATCTCGGTAACTATAATGTAGGTTATAAAGGCTCACATGAACAGTGACGTCACCATCAGTTAGTAAACATGCTTTTTTGACAAGAGGTAGCGCTTTGTTGATTTCCACTTGCAAAATGAATACTTTTAAATTGTGTAAAACAGTAACGGATATGTTTTTTTTTTAGTTTCCAAGCTACAATAAATAAAACTTATTTTATTTTATATAGCATCGAGTAAAAAATATGTACCTGGCGCATATCCTTAAAAAAAATAAAACTTGTCAAAATTAGCTATATATTAGGATGTCAAAAAAGACTTGCGGTATATTTATTGAATTTTCAATTGTTCATAAAATTGGTTACAATAATGCGATTCACGTCAAATATGCGCCGTTTTGTTCGACGACGCGTTCCCAACGAGATGCCAACTCTCTTTGTGTCCAACTTCAGACTACCAAGCGCGTTCGCCATGGCCACAGTCTGGGCCGCTTCACCGCTTTTCGACCACGACCGTTTGCGCCTTACGTTATCGTAAGTGACACACTTTTCATCGCCAGTCACCATACTCTTCAAAAACGGGTTGATTATGTTGCGATTTAGAAGCGATTCGCATGCGTCGATACGGTCAAAGATGTTTATTTGCGTCAAGTCGTGTGGCACCCATACATCGAGCTTCTTAGTGACTTCAAGCTTCTTCAAATGGTTTATAACGGTTTGATGACTCATGCCCAGCTTTTGACCGATGCTACGGCTGCTACTTTGCCGGTCTCTTTCAACCAATTCAGCGATTTTTTCGCAATTTTCGACGACAGGCCTTCCGGAGCGTGGCGCATCTTCGACCACCTTTACACCAGAACGAAAACGTTGATACCATCGTTGTGGAAATGGAAACTGTATCGGGTCCATAAACTGCACAAATTTTATTGGCGGCCTGAGATGCATTTTTGCCTTTATGGTAGTAGTACTGTAAAATATGCAGACAATCAATCAAACAAGTATTAGCATGAAATGAGCTTTCCAAAAAGGTATAGTATGACCTGACGGGACGAATAAAACAAGAACTACGCGCTTTCAGCGCCTACTATCGAAAATACCGCAAGACTTTTTTGACAACCTAATATATTGTCTGATTATATGGTTCGACCAGTTGGGCTTCCAATTTATAAATGGGGTCAACTGTACATAAATTTGGACTTCTTTATAACACCAGTTACTCATAAAGTAAAAGGGTACATTGCTTTCGTTAAAAAGTATATAACAGGTTGAAAGAATAGTTTCCGACCTTATAGTCGCGATACTTGACCATAGCGTTTCTTGTGTTATTTACTTTTGAAATATGTTTTTAAATAATGGTTCTGCGCAAAGCTAGCAATATTTCTTATAATAATTTGTTTTATTTTTATTGACAGGGGCCTGTGAAATTTACAGCCTGCCAAGGTTTCCAGCGACACCTCAGTTTTTTGCAGTGCCATTGGCTGCCAACGATGAAAATGCATCCACATATGCATTTGTAGGTCCTGCAAGATATTCGTGGAAAGAGGAGGATATTTTATATGTCGGAACCACATTTACAAATGTTGGTGATTATCGCCATGATGTGCCTGCGATTTCATCCCGTCGTCTTGATGATCTAAGTTATGCGGAATTTTCAATACAGCAGTCAATTATAAATATTGATGTCAAATATCGGGATCATTTTTTAGTCGATTATGTATATGGCTTTAATTCTTCTGAATACGCATACTTTATTATTGTTCAAAAAAAGTCACATTTAGCTGATGAGGCAGGTTACGTAACCAGATTGGCTCGTATATGTATTACCGATCCTAATTATGACAGTTATACTGAAATAACTGTTCAATGTACAGCTACTGAAAATAATATTGATTACAACATATTACGCGATGCTAAGCTTACACCGGCCAGCCTAAAGTTAGCTCAAAAAATGGGCATAAAAAAAGACGACCACGTATTAGTAACCGTCTTTTCGCCTTCGAAAGAGATAAGCGATCAGCCAGAAAGAATGTCGGCAATGTGCATATATAGTATAAAAGATATTGAAGACATGTTTATAGAAAATATCCATCTATGCTTTAACGGAACTATAAAGGATCGAAATTTGGGTTATATATCGGGCACTATTAATGATGGGAGATGCCCATTGGTTGGTTCGCTCGGTAACATTTATAATTTTTGTTCTGTAGGACTTAAAATAAGCGGAGTATCCCCAATCACTGCCCGTGCTCTCTTTCACTTTAATAACGTGTCCGTAACATCCGTGACAGCTACTTCAACGACTGATCAACAACATTCTCTTGCTTTTCTTGGGACCGACATGGGAGTAATCAAAAAAGTTTTATTATCTGGCCAAAGTCCAGGTGAGTACGAAGAAATTGTGGTGGATGCTGGAAACCGTATACTACCAAATACTATGATGTCTTCCAAAAAAGATTTTCTTTACGTACTATCCGAACGTAGAATTACAAAGCTTAGAATTGAGCACTGTTCTGTGTATACAAATTGTTCAGCTTGCTTGGAGTCCCGGGATCCTTTTTGTGGATGGTGTTCTTTGGAAAAACGATGCACCGTACGGTCAACTTGTCAACGAGATACATCTGCGTCACGATGGCTTTCATTGGGCAGTGGGCAGCAATGCATTGAGTTTGAATCTATTATCCCAGATAAAATACCAATTACCGAGATTGCACACCTGAATTTAATAATTCGAACACTACCCGAACCCTTTAATGCAAAATACCGATGTGTTTTCGGAAACTCTACCCCAATTGATGCTGAAATTCTGGATAATGGACTCGGATGTGCTACGCCCCCACTAGATGAAAGACCAGTAATACCTAGTAATACTGACCATGTGTTGGTACCATTATCAGTAAGAAGTTCGGAGACAAATAAGGACTTTGTATCAAGATATTTTGCATTCTTTGATTGTTCACATCATGGAAACTGTCAGGAATGTCTGCACAGCTCCTGGGGCTGCAATTGGTGTATTTTTGACAATAAGTGTGTCCACAAATCATTAAAATGCCGTAATGTGGAAAATGCTGTAAGTAGTGTTGGCCAATGCCCCCACCTAAAAAAGATTCGACCGGCAATTCTTTTACCGGTACGAGTGCCGAAAGAAATTCGGCTAGAAATTGAAAACTTACCAAAACCCAAAAGCGTTCATGCTGGTTTTTTATGTACGGTACATATAGAAGCCGCTCAGATGCTATTGCCTGCGCATATTGAATCAAACAAAATTGTTGTTTGTGAAAAAACACCTTATTTTTATGAGACCAATATACATGAATACCAGGCCAAGGTTGTAGTTACATGGAATTTTCAGCACTATGTGGACACCGCAGTTGTTACATTGTACAAGTGTGACGTACTCGGTTCACATCGGGATCATGCTGATTGCAGCTTGTGTGTAACTCGTAATCCCAAATACAAATGCGCTTGGTGCGGCAACTCATGTGTATATAATGAGACTTGCGTATCTGACCAAACCTCTATTAGCACGGAATATAAAATGGGTATGGGTGTAGAAAAAAATGAGTGCCCCTTACCAAGGATCGATATTATTAAACCGTTATCTGGACCAATTGAAGGAGGTACTCTTATTACAATCGAAGGAAGTAATTTGGGTATTCGCGAAGATGATGTGCGAGGAAAAATATTTATCGGATCTGTGCCGTGTGAACTAGTTAATTACGAAATATCAGTAAAAATTGAATGCCGCACTGGAGCTGTGATGTATGAAATGTCAGCCCCTATAAAAGTGGCGAATGAAGCAGGTTATACTGAATCAAGTGTACAGTTTCATTTTAAGAATGTGCTGTTAACAGGATTATATCCACCAATGGGACCCCGGTCGGGGGGAACACAATTGTCATTGATAGGAAAATTTTTGAACATCGGGTCAACAATGCGGGCATTTTTAGATGAATATGAGTGTCATATAAATGTTACTCAAGCTTCATCATCCCAAGTAAGCTGTACTACATCAGAGGCTACACAGCCAGAACCAATACGATCTCTCCACCTTGTTATTGATGGTGCCAACAGAACATTAGAATGCCAGGTTTCGTCCTCAACCTTTACTAATCGGAACACAGCACGAAATAATTTTGGTTCTTATCAATTCCGTACGCCACCACGGCAGTCCTGTTCCATTTTTAACTATACTCAGGACCCGCGAATAATGCAAATTAAGCCTTTGCGTAGTTTTGTTAGTGGTGGTCGCGTACTGACTGTTCATGGAATATATCTCGACTCAATTCAAAAACCAGAACTGGAAGTTTTTTTTGACAATGAACGAGTGAACAAAACGTCATGCGTAGTCATTAGCTCAAATCAAATGGAATGTCCATCGCCTCCAGTAAATCATAAATTTTGGACAAGTAGAACTATCAACAGAGTGCCGAATTCAGAATTGGACTTCAAAAACTCTTCGGCTGCAACTGATAGTGGATTCAAACATGAATTTGCTAGGCAAAAGCGAAGAGTGGACTTAGTGGACAATTTTCACATATACACAACAGGAGAAACTGCTTCTAACTATTTCGTCAATAATAATATGGATGTTACAACTTTTGTAAAGGTTCATGAAACTCAACTGAATTTACAACTCAGTTTTGTTATGGACAATGTACAGCTCGTTAGAGACTTAAATAAATATTTTCATGATATTAGGAGCACCATCGTTTATTTAGCCGATCCAAAATATTTTCCATTTCCCAACGACGGCATTAAACTATATAAGGGTGACAGCTTGGTCATAGAAGGCGAGCTTTTAAATTTGGCAGCTGATGAATATGATGTTAATGTAACTATTGGTACCATTCAATGCAATATTACCAGCCTGGCTCTTACCCAACTTTTATGCATTCCGCCTGAGCATCAACCACTCCCAACTGATGAAAATGGCGTGGATCAATCGACTGATCTACCGCTAGTTGTTGTTAAAGTTGGACGAAATTTGCGTTTTGTAATTGGTTATCTGAAGTATGATTTAAATAAGCCATATGTTTTTTCTCATGCTTTGTTTGTCGTTATGTTCACGGTAGCCTTTCTTGTTATTATTCTAGTTATAATACTTATAATATTTAGAAGGAAATCAACACAAGCAGAACGTGAGTACAAACGCATTCAGATTCAGATGATTACATTGGAAAGCAACGTACGTTCAGAGTGTAAACAGGCTTTTGCTGAGCTACAAACTGACATGACCGATCTAACAGCAGATTTGGAGAGCACCGGTATACCAACGTTAGATCACGTTAACTACATAATGAAAGTGTTCTTTCCCGGTGTCTCAGATCATCCAATTTTAAATTCTCAGAAGTTTCGCGAAAATAACCACCACACAAACTATGACGCTGCTATGGTGCAATTTGAGCAACTAATTGGAAACAAATATTTTTTACTAATGTTTATAGAAACATTAGAAGCCCAACGGTCGTCATTTTCCATACGGGACAGAGTCAACGTAGCCTCTTTACTTATGGTTGTTTTAATGAACAAAATGGAATATGCCACCGAAATTCTAAAGTCCCTTCTATTGCGTTTAATAGATAAATCACTTGCAAGCAAGCATCCTCATTTAATGCTAAGACGCACTGAAAGCGTTGTTGAAAAAATGTTAACCAATTATTTAGCAATATGTATGTATGACTACCTAAAAGAGTACGCTGGAAACAATTTATTTTTGTTGTTCAAGGCAATAAAGCATCAAATTGAAAAGGGCTTAGTGGACGCAATAACCAATGATGCTCGTTATTCACTTTCAGAAGAACGGCTTCTGCACGAACAAGTTACCCATTCTGTTGTTATATTGCACATTTTACAAGATGATCTTGATGAGAAAGTCCAATGTCGCGTAAACGATTGGGACACCATTTCTCAAGTCAAGCTTAAAATTCTAGACGCAATTTTTAAAAATACTCCGTTTTCAATGAGACCTTCTGTACACGAAGTTGACTTAGAATGGAGGCACGGGCGAGGAGGTCATCTCACATTACAGGATGAAGACTTAACTACAAAAACTATTAACGGATGGAAACGCCTAAATACATTGGCTCATTATGGAGTTAAGGAATCGGCTGTAATGTCACTAATAGCAAGACAAAATGATAATTACCATATACCCTACACTAAACATCAAAATACGGCACCATACCACAATTGTAAGTAATAATTACATTTAAATTCACTTAATAACGCTACCATTCTGTTTTCTTGCAGTTTATTTTATAAATAATTCTCAAAGCCATATTATAATTAATAATGACATCGAGTCAGGGTTGCAGCAGCCTCGACTGTACCACCTTATAAAACCAACAATGCCTGACCATTATATGAACATTAAAAATTCTGTCTTGTCTGGAACCTCTCCAGGATTGCAATCTTCCCATTGTGGAAATAATTGTAATGAGAGGGTAAACAAAACGATACCAGAAGTGTACCTAACACGTCTTTTGGCCACTAAGGGAACTATACAAAAATTTGTTGATGATTTCTTCTCAATTATTTTAACTGTTAATGAGGAATTGCCACCTGCAGTTAAATGGCTTTTTGATTTACTAGATGAGGCTGCGCGACGTCATGATATTGGCGATACTGACATAGTACACGCCTGGAAATCAAATTGTTTGCCCCTTCGTTTTTGGGTTAATTTTATAAAGAATCCAGATTTTATATTTGATGTAAATAAAACATTTTGTGTGGATTCTTGTTTAAGTGTCATCGCGCAAACTTTTATGGATGCCTGCTCAACATCAGAGCACAGACTTGGAAAAGATTCACCGTCTAACAAGTTGCTTTTTGCGAAAGTAAGTATACAAATGAAACTTATTGTTATATCGAGTATAATTTTTACTTGTCTAATATTACATAACCGTTCCTGTGCTAACCAATTTGAAATAATAATTTCGCTAGTATAAATTGACGTCGTTGAAAATGTTACTAGCGCTACATGTTACCAGATCCCTAAAGAGTATATTCAATAACAAAGCTAAAATAAGTAGCAAACCATTTTATTATTTTTTTAATTCTAAAGGAAATATATTAATATATTTATAATAAACATTTCCTACGCATCACTATACTTGCATAATGAACCTTAACTTCCTAGCTTTTGTTTTGAAGATCCCAAGAAGAGACAGAAAAAAATTATTATGTAATATGAAAGTCCTTTTTTAATGCCGTTTTCTACGGTTTGTTTGTTTAGTCTTTCCGTATGAACACATCTACTAACATATTTATTCTTTAATTGATTAAAAGTGTATTGGGTAAGTTATAGTCGAAGTACACGGCTGTCTAGTTTTACAATCACACATAAAAAAAATTTAACACTTTTATTAACTTTTTAAAAGTGAAAATTACAAATTTGTAATAAAAGACATAAAATGTTTTCCGATTCAGGATATTCCCAACTATAGAATTATGGTTAAGGAATTTTACCGCGATGTGTCAAGGCTTCCACAAATAAGCGACCAAGAAATGAGTACAGCTATGCAACAACTTTCTGTTCGGCAGAACGATGAATTTGATACAATTTCTGCACTAAAAGAGTTATATATTTATATAACCAAGTATAAGGATCAGGTTAGTGAATTAACGTAAATGTGCATTTATTTTGACTTTAATCAATTTTTTTATCTGTGTGTTATAAGATTATGGAAGCACTTGAAACCGATATAAACTGCAGGAAGATGCATCTTTCCCGAAAATTAGAAAATGTCGCCGGTACTCTCGATGGTGACGGAACATCTAATTGCTGACATACATATGACATTTTAGGAATTGTAAGGACTTTAAATTACACTAAATTTAATTTTTTTTAAGGCCAAGAATGTTTTATATAGTCAGTTTATAAAAAAGTGCATTTCTTTTTAATTTAAGAAAAGTACCGAAGCCATGCTTTGTAATATACTACAAAAAAGGCAGAATATTGCTGTCAAAGGACTAAATATTCTTGACTCAAATTATGAATACAGCCATGTCAACCTTTTATTTGTAATTGGATTTTTAGTATGGGAGTAAGTATGGCAGCACGATATTAACCACTCTAATTTCTTTAGAGCTGTGAATAAGTATTTCTGAACAATAAATGTTAGCTATAGCCTAGTAAAATCATTGGTAACTAGTTCTTGGATGTAGATTTTTTTGTAAATCTAATTAAATTGTAATTAGCTCCTCAGTATTGGTAAAAGCAAAAATTTTATTTAAGAATTTATTTTGCACATTGACTTACCCTCCATTTTTTTAAAGGAAAATAAGTTCTTTGATATTTTTTAGGTGTGCGCGATAATTGAAAACGAAATGAGATTATTAGCGTCTGTTATACCGCTTATAAGGAGTTGACTAGGTTATTTATGTAAATCAAGTTCAGATCTTTTGTCATATTAATTCTATAGAATCTGTGTTTTTGTGCATATATCATCGTTTATATAAATTTCTATTAAGTAAAGAACTGATAAATGTATCTATCATTAATAATTTGGTGTATTCAAAATAAGCTAAAAATGTTAATAAATATATTAATAATATTCATCTAAGTGCTTAAAACATGAATGAAATTGGTAGTTCCGGATTTACACCATGTGCTCTCTGTGCTTAGGCACTGGGCGCTAAATTTTTTGAGTGCGGTAAAATTAAAATCGAAAAACAAAAATTCTTGTAAAGAAATTAAATAAATTTTAGCTCGTCTGAAGCTTTTTTAACGGCGGTAATGGGTTTAGGTAATATCCCCTGGTGAAGGGCAAAGACTGATAGCACAAAACAACGATAAGCCAAAACGGTTTTTTTATATTTTCAAGTGTTTTTTAATTTAGAATTTCTATATGTATATACATTTTAAAACAAAAAGGGTCAATTTATTTAGAAAACAGAGAAAGGATAAGATCGCTAAGATTCTGAATGTTATATTATTTAACCATATTATTACGTTATTATTATATTATTTATTGTTTCGGGGAGTTCAACGAATTTGCACCTTTAATTATTAAAATGAATTAAACACACAATAGGTTTATTTGTGTAGAGACAGTTTTTTATTGTTAAATGATTGGTAGTGGAAGACAATGGTGACGAACCTACCTCTAACTTACCAAGGGGTTACCAACTAACTCAAGCTTCTGCTGTTACCAATATGGTGGCCAGGCGACTGGGAAAAGGTATTGGCGGTCTTAGTTCAAAGATAGGAACTGGAAGTTGGTTTTAGAAGCTGATAGTATTTTTAATACTTTTGGAAATCACCGTTTTAATTTATTTAATTTCTCCCAATTTTTTTTAAATAAATTTATTGTATATTTCTTAAATATTTAAGATGCCAATATTGATATACACGTAAACAGCTTCTAAAAGGACCTCAAACCCTTTGTCAATAAGTTTTAAACCAAAAGTTAAATTATTTAGCTACTTTATTATAGGAAACCCATTACTATTAATTCAGCTTCTTTAGGGTTATATAAAGGTACAATATCCACCCTATTTCTTCTTTATTAAAAATAACGTATAAAATCAACTTATTCTGAACAAATCATAAATATTTATATGTTTTTTTTAAATATTTCGATAATACTTGCTTCTCATAACTGAAAATAAAGTTGTTACCTGACAAAACTTGCTTTCTCTATAAAATTCAATATATTATCTAAAGTTGTCCTATCTGAACACATCATTTTGGCTTATCAGATGGTTGAAAAACTCCCGCTAATGGTCAATATGTAACTTTCAAGTAAAGTTGGGATTGGTCTTTAAAGATTTAATAGAAAGGTAATTGTTTCATTTGTTGGCTCAACCACAATGACTATCCCCAATAATTCTGAAATTAACACTTTCTTTACAGTCAGAATATTAAATTGCTGAGTTACTACCTGTTAATAGATATATGAATAAAACTGCATATTTGCTTTTACATGTTTTGGCTATTTAATGTTTTTACAGGAATAAAAATTAACATTTATAATATTTCATAATAACAAAATTTATTTAAAAGTAATTAAGAAACATATAAAATTTGCTCTGTCGAACTTCTGCTTAGAGCCACGACTGAAGTAAACTTCTATTTCTTACATCGTTATACATTGTTATAAAAACATTTTTATGTCATATATTTAATTTAAAATTAAAATTTACTTTAATTCATACATCCATAATTATCTATTTTTATAAAAGCTTACTTATTTAAAAACAGTTACTTAGTTCCTTATTTTTATTCTTATATTTCAGCATCTAATATTGCTAACAAACTGTCTGCTTATATTAGAGTTTGTATTCTTGTGCGACCGTGTTAAATATATTTTTATCATCATTTGAGTTACCGAAATCAAAATATTTTTATCACCGTCAGTTATAAAATTGGCTTTACATAGTTTTCAGGAAATGAAAAAAAATCTTGGACATCTGATACTAGGCACTCGACTATAACGTATCTTTTTGTTATTATAAGCCTTCAGAAATGGGAAAATAAATATTCAGAGACAGAAATCTTTAGTAAAACTAGAAATCCTATATTGACAAAATATTTAAAATAACCATAATGTGAGTCAAAACATGTGTCTGGTATCGGAATATCGAAACCTTATGCACGGGAGGTGGTACCTGAAGGTTATAAAAAAATGTTATAATTACGAAAAGCATTTGATGTAAAATAAACTTTAATGTAAAATGCGTTCGGTAAAAACAGAAATCGTGATCGATCTACAAATTCAAGCGCTAACATATCGGCGATCAGTTTTAATTATTGGCAAGCTCTAGTCAAGCTCTCGATCGCCGAAATTGCAAAGGGTGGCCCGAATAAGCTCAAAAAACTACTTAGCTGCAACAAACTTGTAGCTATTATTACTCATAATTCTTTATTTTTCATCTTAAAATATTATCACGTCCAAATTTTAACAAAAAAATCTTTAAAAACTAGCAAAACTCAGTTTCAGTTTATTTATTGTTTTATGGCAAAAGAATAATTACACAATGCTACTTTTAAGAAAAGAAAACTTGATGTCAACAAAAAGATAATTAGATTTGTAATATTTATTTATATCTTATGACAGTTTATTTGTGAAACTCAAGAAGCTGTAAATAGTTAACAGTCAAAAGAATAATAATAATGCAATGTTTTTTTAGTAGTATGTGATGAAAATAACTTTTTAACGAGAAAAACTCATTTCAGCTCATAAACATCGAAGATTATTTCCATGCAACTAAAAAAACACAAAAAACTATTTTTCTGGTAAATGAAACCACATTAAAAAAATTTATCAACAAAATAAATTTTTTTAAAAGCCTAAAATTAAAACGTTTGTCATTTGAATGTAATTGTACACAATTTTTTCTTGCTACAAAGCTACTCGCTTTTTCTATTGCCCATTTAATGTTTTTTGGGCTACTGTTATGCACGTTTTCTGTCGATCAATTTTTAAAAATAAAATCACTAACTAATGTACAATAACTGTTCAGATTATGCCATGTCTCAAGCACTAAATTTAGTTCGTTGGAATATTTTGCTTACTAGACCTTTTGAAAAACACTTTAATTATACCCGTTACTCGTAGAGTAAAAGGGTATTCTAGATTCGTTGAAAAGTATGTAACAGATAGAAGGAAGCGTTTCCGACCCTATGAAGGTTATAAATCTTGATCAGGATCAATAGCGGAGTCGATTGAGCCATGTCCGTCCGTCCGACCGTCTGTCCGTCCGACCGTCCGTCCGACCGTCCGTCCGTCTGTCAGTCCGTCGTGTCAAACCGCGAAACAATGTGGCGTCTATAATAATATTATGAATCCCTTCGTTTGTCCTTGTATAACTTATTTCTGTTAATATCTATCGATTTTTTAAATCGGAACATTATTTCGCTATTTATCAAGAAATTTAGGTTATAAGGCCTCACATGGGCAGTGATATTACTATCAGTTAATGCAAAATGAATATTTTAAAATTATGTAAAACAGTAACCGGTATCTAATAGTCGCGGGACTCGACTATAGCGTTTCCTCTATAGTGACGTCACTCCCCATGTAAGGCCTTATAACTTAATTTCTTTATAAACAGCGAAAAAATGTTCCGATTTGAAAAATCTTTTGTAAATCGATAGATATTAACAAAAATAAGTTACACAAGGTCAAACGAAGGCATTCATAATAATATTATAGACTCCACAGTTTTCCGCGGTTTGTGGGCGTTAGAGTGGGCGTGGCCGGATGCAACTTCGTGGCAAGTTGCAGAGGCATCTCCTAAATACGTGTTCCTAAGCAAAATTGTGTAGCTTTTATAGTTTTCGAGATTTTTGCATTTTTGGTTTTTCGGGTTTTGTGGGCGTTAGAGTGGGCGTGGCGTGATCGGAAAAAAACAATTCGCATTGGGAGCATCATAGAAACATACATGCATGATCCGAACTTTCTATCTCTTATAGTTACCGAGATATCAGCTTTTCTAGAAAATCCGAAAACCGTCTTTTGAGCCTTGTGGGCGTATGGGTGGGTCTGGCCGGATAGTAGTAGCACTATAAGATGCGCTGTCATCTAAAGATTATACTTTCTGAATTTCAACTTTCTATCTACAATAGTTCCTGAGATTTCAGCAATTTTAGTTTTTTGCTATTTGTGGGCGTTAGAGTGGGCGTGGCAGGATGCTGTAATAAACTTGCGCTGTCCCGGGACCTCAAGAATCTTCATGCTTAATCTCAGCTTTGTATCTGCTATAGTTCCTGAGATCTCAGCGTTCATACGGACGGACGGACGGACGGACGGACGGACGGACAGACGGACATGGCTCAATCGACTTCGCAATTGATCCTGATCAAGAATATATATACTTTATAGGGTCGCAAAAGCTTCCTTCTATCTGTTACATACTTTTCAACGAATCTAGTATACCCTTTTACTCTACGAGTAACGGGTATAACAATATAAATTAAATGGCCACCTTTATTGGCTACGGCAAATTGTGCTCTTTTTGCCGCATTTTTCATCATTCTATTGAGCATATCGGTCGATATAGCTCTATTTTCGACACGGATGCTGTCCTTTAGCTCGTCAAGGGTTTGAGGATTACAGGCATAAACTTTGCTCTTCAAATAACCGCACAGAAAGATCTCGGTAGCCAGTCTATATCGCCATTTGAGTTAACACCGTTGACTTGTTACTTTCAATACACATTTGCACTATTTTAGCGCGTTGTTTCATCATGTAGCAAACCATGGTTGAAATTCTACTAATCTACTACTAATCGGTTAATATTGAAGAAAAAATAATCAATAGTTAAAACGGCTCATAATATATGGCGCAACCCTGTATGCAAACGCCAATGTGCATACGGCAATATGCATAAATTATACTTAAATTACACATTATTAATACAATTAAAAAAATAAAAAAAAATTAAAATTAGTTATAGACGTGAATTTATAATACAACGCAAGTAAACTGTAATTGTAAAAGGATGGTGACAGACGAGCAATTTATCACCCATTTTGACATAAATATGTACAACAGCTAGTTATTTAAATATCATAGTAGCTGCGTAGGCTCGCGAGCTTTGATGATGATAGACATTTTCACACTATGCTTACAGTATATATAATTGGACATTGCATGCAATCTAAAAAAACCCAATTTAAAATCTACACGTTGTCTGTACCTTTAGTTATATATATGTTATCTACAATACATCTACATGTTATCTATATGACATGTTATCTATATGACACGTTATCTATATGACATGTTATCTACATAATACCAGAATAAATATATGTATGTTTATAAATTTGTTTACATTTTAATAGAGGGCGCTTTGTACATGATGAAGGCCTTAGTTTACTATGTTTTAAAGCATGGTTTTTAAAATAGATGGCGCTTCATAATAAAGTCAGTAAAAATATGCTGCACACACAAATTTGGAGCAGACTTAGAATTGAGATGTAGACAAAAGATAAAGTTGTTAAAAAGAGGCTGACGCACATCTAAACGTTCACAGCTAACTTCGTAACCCCGTAAAAAGGCTTACGCTGGAGGAGCACGGGGTTTCAGACAAACTGCGCGGGCTATAAATCGGAAACGCTCAAAAAGACAGCGAAAAACATTAAACGTTTAAAAACAAAATTTAGTAAGTCAAAAGGGACGCATACATTTTTCAAATAAATTACTAAACATAATTTGATTATACGCTGTATAAGTTTATTTATAAAATACATTCTTTAGGTTTTTCCAAATCCAAATAAATAGGAAAGCAAATACCCAATGACCAATCATCAAAAGTCAATTACTTTATTGCTCATACCTTGTGCAGTCGAACCTTGCATATTTAAGACCCGAAAACCTGCATTATTACTATAGACACAAAAAAGTCGGCGTTAATTCTAGTACTTTACAAAGACCAAAAAGGGGAACGGCATTATTTTCGGAAGATTCTCAGTCTCTGCAAACTATAAAGAGCAGCTTTGAACCATTCCCAGTGATTATAATTTTTTAAATATTGTGACCCCACTTAAATTCATCTAAGTAACAAAGAGCAGCACTTTACAAAGAGCACAAAAAAAGAATCCTCAGTAAATAAATGTGATCCCCGGAAGGAATTTTTAGTGTCAGATTCCAATATCAAGGAGAGTGCAGATCTGGAAAGTTCTTGGGTTTTTTTAGTAGAATAGATGATTAAATAAAAGGACATATATATTTAAGTATTAACGTTTCATAATAGTAGCATATTCTATAATTTATTGCTTACCAATACCAGCAAATAAAAGTAACAAAAAATAGCAACACAAAGATAAAAAGTACATTAAATCAAAGAAAACAAAGTTAAGAGAAAAAGAATTAATGGTTCTATAAGGAATTAAAAATGAACATTATTAAAACGTTTTACATTAAATAATCAATAAAATATTTACACAAAATTAAAATAGGGACTTATATATTTACTAAGAACTTCAGGAAGTAATTTCTTTTATAAAGGGTGTTTTTTTTAGAGGTATAAAACTTTAAGTTGGCATTACTGTTCAAGATGGCGACCGATTTAACAGCTGTCAAGTGATTTATTTTATTTGGCTTGGCAATTCTTCATGGATAGACTCACGCCTAAACTACGATTGCACGCGTTGGTGGTTGCGGGGGAGGTATCCCTGCGTTTTCCTTTGGAGGGCTATCCTTTCCTCTCCAAACGTAGTATGATCTGACTTCCTGTCTGTTGTTTATTTACAAATTATAAGAGGGTGCTGCAACCAGCTAATCCAGTCTTGGAAAAAGCTCTGCCGGTTCGCAACTGTTCTCTGCCAGGGCTGCCACATTAGCAGCAGGCGAAAATTACTATATTATCCTTTCAAAAGCACAAAAGAAACGTTAGGGCTAAGAAAACAAAAAAGTCAGCAAAATCAGATGCAGACCGAAAATTTTAAAGGAAGAAATTAATATAAGAGCATGGTTCCCCACATAAAGCAAAAGCCAGAAAAACGAAAAACCAGGAGACGTATAGCCAAGAAGTCAGAGAAGCCACGGTTGTTCGAGACGGATCATACAAAAAGAGAAAATCACCAGGATATGCTTATATACCGGAAAAAACAGAAAGATTAAAAGAGGAAAGCTTGATCAAAGCGCAGAATTCATTGCAAGAACAGGGGAACACAAGTTTTCTGTAGTTTACAATATTATAAAAAAGAAGAAGATGGAAGAGGTACGCATAAAAATATGCAGAATTCGATGCACAGAAAAAAAAGTGCTCCTGAAGCTTTACGGTTCGACACTACACGACTCTCAGTCCATAAGGAAGGTTGAGTCTTCGAAAAATAGGCCAATCGTATAGAAGATCCACGTCGACATACGCAAGTGAGATGTCAATAAAGGAAGATCTAGCAGCAGCAGTATCTGCAATAAAAGCACTGTCGTTAGATCGTTCCAAGCTTCAAAGGCGTTGCGACTGGCGTACACGGAAACTCAAATGGCCTTGCTAGAACTTATTTTGTAAGCAGATAGAAAGCCTGCTGATCATATTGCTACGTAACAGAGAAGGTTACTTAAGTTATTACTTACTTTACTTCTTGGTTTAAGTTAGTGTGCAATAAATAAAAATGAAGTATACTTTTCTGCTAAAGTCAGTTTTTGGTACATTAAAATAAAGCCTACTTTTTGGCACTCGTTTTTTGTTTTACAAAAAATTAATTAAAGCATACATTTCGTCCAAAACCTTTGACAATGTAAGAAAATTAAGTATTCTTTTAGGTTTCAGTTGGCTTACAATCCAAGTGACGACTTTTAAGAATGTTTAGATAAATTTTAGTCGATTGTTCAATGCAGGTCATGGGTAATGCAAGCAGTGTTACAAAATATGGTGCATACTTTGATTTGTTATACATGTATAAGACCTATAATTAACATTATTTACACATTTCTTTGACATTAAAATTTGCTTGCATTATACATTTATTGTATATGTAACTTCCATCGTATCTACTTGTAATCTACATATTATCTACATCATTTCTAAATTTTTCATATATTCTACATGAATTGTACGTGTTACTTACAAATATTCTACATGCATTCTACAGATATTCTACAAAAATTCAATGTCATCTAAATGCATTTTACATTTTTACAGCAATCTACATTTGATCTACATACATTTCACGTGTTTTCTATATGCATTTTACACGTTTTCCACATGAATTTTATATGTTTTTACATACAATTTACATGAATTATACATCCGACCCTTAGGCGATTATAACTACCACCAATAATCAACAGAAACAAGCAGGAATAGTAAAAGAAAAAACCGAAGGAGGAGGTCAACCAGAAGGAAGAAAACGGCTCAAAGAAGGAAAAGGAGCCCAAGAAGACTGCCAAGGAGTCCAAGAAAAAACCCCCAAAGCCGCAGAGCAAAACAAAAACAATGATCAGTCTACGATTGATCTCTTTATAGCCAAGAAAGCGGACAGCAGCAAGAAAGAGATGCCAGAAGTTAAGACTGCGGAGAAAGGAAAGAAGAAAGATCAAAACACAGACGATTCCAAGCCAAAAGAAGCTCCCAAAAAGGATACACCAAAAACCTTAGGGAAGCCAAAGAAGGAGGAATCAGTAGAAAAGAGCAACAAAGAAGAAAAGTCGCAGAAAGAGAAAGAAGACTAGAATTCTGGGAATTACACGCTTTTGTTTTAATAGATAATATTTAGCATAATGCACGGCAACAGAGGGAGAGAAACTTAGCTGTTGAATGGATTTGATTGTAGATATTAAGAGCCTTAAGTAAGACAGAGAGAGCAATGTTCTAAAGATTTTAGTGAAAAGCTACGCAGCAGAGGCAGAGAAGCTCAGCTGTTGAGTGAGGTTCGATCGTAGATATTAAGAGTCTTAAGCAAGACAGAGAAGACAATGTTCTGAGGACTTGAGTGAAAGGCAAGGCAGCAGAGACAGAGAAGCTCAGCTGTTGAGTGAGTTTCGATCGTAGATATCAAGAGTCTTAAGTAAGACAGAGAAGACAATGTTCTGAGGACTTGAGTGAGATGCGTTTGTGAGATATCACAGATATATGAAAAAAACATCTCAGCTGCAGTCGCGATAGCGTAGCCATATGCAATCGACGCCTGTCCGACATTCTTCAATCGTAAGTCACTCGACGCGCTTGTTCGTTTGCTGTTATTATTCAAGAAAAAATATATCGTCGCGATAATGATAACTTGAGAGGTGCCGTTGTTCGACATATGTATGTATTACTACTCGTTGGTTTGTTTAAAGCAGAAAAAGGTTTCCCGCGTCGCGACCAAAGTGCAAAATAAGCACGGGAGTTGCAGTTGGCCATTCTGCGTTCTCTTCTCATTAGGTAGGTTGTCTGATTAGCTCTCTTGGTTTCTTACTTTTGTAAAATAAAAAAAATGACATAGCGTGTCAAAATTATTTTAATAATGAATAAAAATAAGTCGGGTTTTTATTACACAAATGTATTTCGTTACATCGCTTATTAATTCCGTTAAATTATTAAAAGTTATCGCTATTAAATAAACATTTTAAATAGTGTTAAATAGTAATGTAAATAAAAAGTAAACATTACCTGGAGGACAACAATTTGTACATTTGAAAAAAAAAGTTTTTACTGTTGCATTCCTTTTTTTCTTGCCGGCGCCGTACCAGACCGCTGTCCTACTTTGGTTATTCCTTTCATTGTAGGATGCCGTCGTTGTAAATAAATGAACGAATGTAATACAATTTCTTGCCCAATAAACCTTTTATGTGGTTTTCAAGTATTAATATTTTATAGATTACAATTTTTTGTGTTTAAAGTTTCTAAAAAAACCTCAGTTTAATAACGTTTAATGGAAGGAGACGCAACAAGGATTACTCGAATGGCCCAAATTATTATATTCGTGGGTAAAAAGCAAGTTCATTACGCTAACTGCTATTTTTATAAAAGTGGTTTAGCTTGCTGGATGCGGAGCGAAATAGAATTTATTGCCACCAACATATTGTTGTACGTATTTATTTGTATTTTAAAATTTGTAATATCACTTCATCCCTTCGTTTTCAGTGTATAAAAAATGGTGGTTTAATGGCGTTTACCGGAAAATGGAATTAAAATTAATTTCATGGCCGAAATCTGAATAGCCAAGAGGCTGCAATATTTACTGACGGGTACTTCAATTCAAATACAAGACCTTAGCTTTGCTGGATACAGAATAGAGAAGACTTCACTGAAAATAAAATGCAGTATGTATATTTTTTATATCGGCGTTTCGTAGCTTACTTTTTTTCTTTACTTCCAGTGTTTAAGCAAATTACGGTTTAATGGCGGCAAATAAAAATGGAAAACCTAAAAATAAAGTCAATTTTCTTATAATGAATACCACGGAAAAGGCTGCGATTATACAGACGGTCATATCTATACTTATAAAAGAGGTACATACACACATTTTCATTTTACATTTAAGGTTGTACTTTTAAACAGTTTGTCACATTCCAATGAAACCAAAAGCCAGCATGAGATTTGACCGAGTTTTTGTTGTCAATGCTAAAAGCAATTGTGTAGACATTCAGGACCTGCCACTCGCCGATGTAGTGTAGTTTTCGTTTCGCCTATATATATATATCTGTACTGTTCTTTTCAACTTCAAAGGAACAACTTCCGATCCGCTAATCCTAATTCTATTGCCATTAGACATTTTTTTAAACTTTTTTGCTGGTTGGTTATTCTGCTTGTACATAGTGATTCATGAAATGTTTGGTGTAAGGAAGTTTGATATTATTTGTATTTTATTTACACATTGTCTTCTACTACAAACGCCTTAGTAGCGAGGCTTATCTTTTATGTTAAACCATACTTTGCTAGACATTTGTCGACATTGCTTCTTTTGAGCCTGTTCTTGCCGTTTGTTCTTTTTAATATATAGCTGTACTGCTCTACCAGCCTTAAAAAGTATATAGGTTTTTCCCTTATCGCAAAAGACAATACCGCGGCCAGGAATATTCTTTATTAACTGTAATTAATCGTTACTTATTATATAATATATTAATTACCTACTGGTGATATAAATACAATTTATACGTAAAGTATAGAGGAAAGCGGAATTCATTACATGTGATTCATACAAATATATAAATTATGTTGTTAGATTAAATATTATATTGTAAAAGGAAAGGGCTTGCAGATTACTAATGGTTTCTGTCTGATTACACGTAGACTAATTATAAAATAGATAATTGCATAATTACATATACAGAACTTATGCGTAACTTGCTGTAAATGATAAGTGTTTTTCACTTAAACTAAAGGGCAATTATAGGTCAAATATAAATTATTTACAGGTGCATTAGAAACAATATATACATTTGGTGTAGATAAAATATGAATTATTTACTCGTGTTTTATAAATATGTAAATTAGGTTTGCTGATAAAACATTTTATTGTAAAGGGGAAGGGTCTTCAAACTTACTAATGGTTTGCTGGCTAGTTATACGTAGAATTTTTATATAATTTACCCTAACTTATGCACTTTTTAAATTAATTGTAGATGAACTATGCATTGTGCTGTGGAAAGAAAAATCTTTGCCCTACGCTAACCGGATTTGAATTGCTATTTGAAAAAGGTCCCCCATCGATTGACATGCTATGTGCGAAATATATATGGCTTATACATGGTAAGTACTTAATTAATACATGATATTCGGATAATATATAGGTAAGATATGAGGTATATCTAATTTGTTCTTTAGTAACATACATTTTACTGCATTGTTGTGCACTTTTGGCAATAATTGTGCAATATTTATAATACCTTTAAGAACATTTTAGGGCCAAGACTTTTAAAGGGTGTTGTGTCGGATATTTTGTAGTACCATTTGTAGTACAAAGCGTGATTTTAATTGCAGGTGTTGATGGAAACAAATACGTTACTTAAAGAGGGAGCTACAACAGCATGCGTGTGGAAACCGATGTTTGCTTATAAGGAAGGCGCTTCACAGCACACAACGCTTCTAAAGAAAGACGAATTTTCATCATGGCATTGTAACAGTGCTGTTGAAAAGAAGGCACTTAAAAAGGAAAGAGCTTTGTCCTATCATGTGGTGGATCACAAGGAAAATATTCTACATATTGAAAGAAACTTATCATAATGCTAGGGTGTGTAAATGTTAGCTTGTGTAAAAAACCAATAATGGTAACTCCATGAATGTATGAAAATTTAACAAATGTTACCATAAGTTAGTAGTATTGTAAGCTGTCGTGTGCAATGTATAATTAATGTTTCAAAGATGTTATTAGTTTAAGCATATGTTAAGCCACGATTATTGTAACACAATGAGCTTGTACACATAGTTAAGCTAGACATAAGTAATGTTCAGCCAATTGCCAGACAATGTTAAGATAATCAATGAGGTAGAAAGGAAGAAAACGACTCAAAGAAGGAAAAGGAGCCCAAGAAGACTGCCAAGGAGTCCAAGAAAGAAACCCCCAAAGCCGCAGAGCAAAACAAAAACAATGATCAGTCCACGATTGATCTCTTTACAGCCAAGAAAGCGGACACCAGCAAGAAAGAGAAGCCAGAAGTTAAGACTGCGGAGAAAGGCAAGAAGAAAGATCAAACCACAGACGATCCCAAGCCAAAAGAAGCTCCCAAAAAGGATACACCAAAAACCTTAGGGAAGCCAAAGAAGGAGGAATCAGTAGAAAAGAGCAACAAAGAAGAAAAGTCCCAGAAAGAAAAAGAAGAAGACTCACCTGCCGCCAGTAATCAAAAATAAACAAGCAGGAAGAGTAAAGGCAAAAAACAGAAGGAGGAGGTCAACCAGAAGAAAGAAAACGACTCAAGGAAGGAAAAGGACCCCAAGAAGACTACCAAGAAGTACAAGAAAGAACCCCCTAAATATTGTTTATTAATACGCTTTTTTACAGGTTCAACATTCGACGCAAGCGTTACATAGGAATTGGCGATAACACAACAGACAATCGGATACATGAGGTTGGCTATAACAGAGGCTCTTTCCAGTATACGGCCCTCTGTAGAGAAACTGACTCACATTATTGGCGTTGTTTAACAGATAACATGAAGAAGAGGACACTAACGGATCGCTAACCAACACATCATATGCTCCTATATATTGGACTCCTTCAAGCGGACGACGATTGATGGTATCAATGTTGTTTGATAGACGGCGCTGTAAAACTAAAGGCGCATTACACGTCCGTCTCTAGGTTACATACATGAACAAATAAGACATACCAAAGACAATTTGGATTATATTAAGGATAACGCAAATGTTATACCACACTAGTGATGGTAGAACAATAATAAGAAATGTTAATACTTAAGAATGTTAACCTAAGCAAAAATTGTAAACAAAGCAAAGATTGCACTATATAGATACTGCACTCAGAGCTGTAAGAATATGTTAAAAGTATCTTAAGTAGTCGTAAACAATGTATACACAATGTTCCGAACGATGTTATTAGTTTAAGCAACTGTTAAGCCGTATATAATGTAACACAATGAGCTTGTACACATAGTTAAGCTAGACATAAGTAACGTTCAGCCAATTGCCAGACAATGTTAAGATAATCAATGAGGTAGAAAGGAAGAAAACGACTCAAAGAAGGAAAAGGAGCCCAAGAAGACTGCCAAGGAGTCCAAGAAAGAAACCCCCAAAGCCGCAGAGCAAAACAAAAACAATGATCAGTCCACGATTGATCTCTTTACAGCCAAGAAAGCGGACACCAGCAAGAAAGAGAAGCCAGAAGTTAAGACTGCGGAGAAAGGCAAGAAGAAAGATCAAACCACAGACGATTCCAAGCCAAAAGAAGCTCCCAAAAAGGATACACCAAAAACCTTAGGGAAGCCAAAGAAGGAGGAATCAGTAGAAAAGAGCAACAAAGAAGAAAAGTCCCAGAAAGAAAAAGAAGAAGACTCACCTGCCGCCAGTAATCAAAAATAAACAAGCAGGAAGAGTAAAGGCAAAAAACAGAAGGAGGAGGTCAACCAGAAGGAAGAAAACGACCCAAGGAAGGAAAAGGACCCCAAGAAGACTACCAAGAAGTACAAGAAAGAACCCCCTAAATATTGTTTATTAATACGCTTTTTTACAGGTTCAACATTCGACGCAAGCGTTACATAGGAATTGGCGATAACACAACAGACAATCGGATACATGAGGTTGGCTATAACAGAGGCTCTTTCCAGTATACGGCCCTCTGTAGAGAAACTGACTCACATTATTGGCGTTGTTTAACAGATAACATGAAGAAGAGGACACTAACGGATCGCTAACCAACACATCATATGCTCCTATATATTGGACTCCTTCAAGCGGACGACGATTGATGGTATCAATGTTGTTTGATAGACGGCGCTGTAAAACTAAAGGCGCATTACACGTCCGTCTCTAGGTTACATACATGAACAAATAAGACATACCAAAGACAATTTGGATTATATTAAGGATAACGCAAATGTTATACCACACTAGTGATGGTAGAACAATAATAAGAAATGTTAATACTTAAGAATGTTAACCTAAGCAAAAATTGTAAACAAAGCAAAGATTGCACTATATAGATACTGCACTCAGAGCTGTAAGAATATGTTAAAAGTATCTTAAGTAGTCGTAAACAATGTATACACAATGTTCCGAACGATGTTATTAGTTTAAGCAACTGTTAAGCCGTATATAATGTAACACAATGAGCTTGTACACATAGTTAAGCTAGACATAAGTAACGTTCAGCCAATTGCCAGACAATGTTAAGATAATCAATGAGGTAGAAAGGAAGAAAACGACTCAAAGAAGGAAAAGGAGCCCAAGAAGACTGCCAAGGAGTCCAAGAAAGAAACCCCCAAAGCCGCAGAGCAAAAACAAAAACAATGATCAGTCCACGATTGATCTCTTTACAGCCAAGAAAGCGGACACCAGCAAGAAAGAGAAGCCAGAAGTTAAGACTGCGGAGAAAGGCAAGAAGAAAGATCAAACCACAGACGATTCCAAGCCAAAAGAAGCTCCCAAAAAGGATACACCAAAAACCTTAGGGAAGCCAAAGAAGGAGGAATCAGTAGAAAAGAGCAACAAAGAAGAAAAGTCCCAGAAAGAAAAAGAAGAAGACTCACCTGCCGCCAGTAATCAAAAATAAACAAGCAGGAAGAGTAAAGGCAAAAAACAGAAGGAGGAGGTCAACCAGAAGGAAGAAAACGACCCAAGGAAGGAAAAGGACCCCAAGAAGACTACCAAGAAGTACAAGAAAGAACCCCCTAAATATTGTTTATTAATACGCTTTTTTACAGGTTCAACATTCGACGCAAGCGTTACATAGGAATTGGCGATAACACAACAGACAATCGGATACATGAGGTTGGCTATAACAGAGGCTCTTTCCAGTATACGGCCCTCTGTAGAGAAACTGACTCACATTATTGGCGTTGTTTAACAGATAACATGAAGAAGAGGACACTAACGGATCGCTAACCAACACATCATATGCTCCTATATATTGGACTCCTTCAAGCGGACGACGATTGATGGTATCAATGTTGTTTGATAGACGGCGCTGTAAAACTAAAGGCGCATTACACGTCCGTCTCTAGGTTACATACATGAACAAATAAGACATACCAAAGACAATTTGGATTATATTAAGGATAACGCAAATGTTATACCACACTAGTGATGGTAGAACAATAATAAGAAATGTTAATACTTAAGAATGTTAACCTAAGCAAAAATTGTAAACAAAGCAAAGATTGCACTATATAGATACTGCACTCAGAGCTGTAAGAATATGTTAAAAGTATCTTAAGTAGTCGTAAACAATGTATACACAATGTTCCGAACGATGTTATTAGTTTAAGCAACTGTTAAGCCGTATATAATGTAACACAATGAGCTTGTACACATAGTTAAGCTAGACATAAGTAACGTTCAGCCAATTGCCAGACAATGTTAAGATAATCAATGAGGTAGAAAGGAAGAAAACGACTCAAAGAAGGAAAAGGAGCCCAAGAAGACTGCCAAGGAGTCCAAGAAAGAAACCCCCAAAGCCGCAGAGCAAAACAAAAACAATGATCAGTCCACGATTGATCTCTTTACAGCCAAGAAAGCGGACACCAGCAAGAAAGAGAAGCCAGAAGTTAAGACTGCGGAGAAAGGCAAGAAGAAAGATCAAACCACAGACGATTCCAAGCCAAAAGAAGCTCCCAAAAAGGATACACCAAAAACCTTAGGGAAGCCAAAGAAGGAGGAATCAGTAGAAAAGAGCAACAAAGAAGAAAAGTCCCAGAAAGAAAAAGAAGAAGACTCACCTGCCGCCAGTAATCAAAAATAAACAAGCAGGAAGAGTAAAGGCAAAAAACAGAAGGAGGAGGTCAACCAGAAGGAAGAAAACGACTCAAGGAAGGAAAAGGACCCCAAGAAGACTACCAAGAAGTACAAGAAAGAACCCCCTAAATATTGTTTATTAATACGCTTTTTTACAGGTTCAACATTCGACGCAAGCGTTACATAGGAATTGGCGATAACACAACAGACAATCGGATACATAATGTTGTCTATAACAGAGGCTCTTTCCAGCATACGGCCCTTTGTAGAGAAACTGACTCACATTATTGGCGTTGTTTAACAGATAACATGAAGAAGAGGACACTAACGGATCGCTAACCAACACATCATATGCTCCTATATATTGGACTCCTTCAAGCGGACGACGATTGATGGTATCAATGTTGTTTGATAGACGGCGCTGTAAAACTAAAGGCGCATTACACGTCCGTCTCTAGGTTACATACATGAACAAATAAGACATACCAAAGACAATTTGGATTATATTAAGGATAACGCAAATGTTATACCACACTAGTGATGGTAGAACAATAATAAGAAATGTTAATACTTAAGAATGTTAACCTAAGCAAAAATTGTAAACAAAGCAAAGATTGCACTATATAGATACTGCACTCAGAGCTGTAAGAATATGTTAAAAGTATCTTAAGTAGTCGTAAACAATGTATACACAATGTTCCGAACGATGTTATTAGTTTAAGCAACTGTTAAGCCGTATATAATGTAACACAATGAGCTTGTACACATAGTTAAGCTAGACATAAGTAACGTTCAGCCAATTGCCAGACAATGTTAAGATAATCAATGAGGTAGAAAGGAAGAAAACGACTCAAAGAAGGAAAAGGAGCCCAAGAAGACTGCCAAGGAGTCCAAGAAAGAAACCCCCAAAGCCGCAGAGCAAAACAAAAACAATGATCAGTCCACGATTGATCTCTTTACAGCCAAGAAAGCGGACACCAGCAAGAAAGAGAAGCCAGAAGTTAAGACTGCGGAGAAAGGCAAGAAGAAAGATCAAACCACAGACGATTCCAAGCCAAAAGAAGCTCCCAAAAAGGATACACCAAAAACCTTAGGGAAGCCAAAGAAGGAGGAATCAGTAGAAAAGAGCAACAAAGAAGAAAAGTCCCAGAAAGAAAAAGAAGAAGACTCACCTGCCGCCAGTAATCAAAAATAAACAAGCAGGAAGAGTAAAGGCAAAAAACAGAAGGAGGAGGTCAACCAGAAGGAAGAAAACGACTCAAGGAAGGAAAAGGACCCCAAGAAGACTACCAAGAAGTACAAGAAAGAACCCCTAAATATTGTTTATTAATACGCTTTTTTACAGGTTCAACATTCGACGCAAGCGTTACATAGGAATTGGCGATAACACAACAGACAATCGGATACATGAGGTTGTCTATAACAGAGGCTCTTTCCAGTATACGGCCCTTTGTAGAGAAACTGACTCACATTATTGGCGTTGTTTAACAGATAACATGAAGAAGAGGACACTAACGGATCGCTAACCAACACATCATATGCTCCTATATATTGGACTCCTTCAAGCGGACGACGATTGATGGTATCAATGTTGTTTGATAGACGGCGCTGTAAAACTAAAGGCGCATTACACGTCCGTCTCTAGGTTACATACATGAACAAATAAGACATACCAAAGACAATTTGGATTATATTAAGGATAACGCAAATGTTATACCACACTAGTGATGGTAGAACAATAATAAGAAATGTTAATACTTAAGAATGTTAACCTAAGCAAAAATTGTAAACAAAGCAAAGATTGCACTATATAGATACTGCACTCAGAGCTGTAAGAATATGTTAAAAGTATCTTAAGTAGTCGTAAACAATGTATACACAATGTTCCGAACGATGTTATTAGTTTAAGCAACTGTTAAGCCGTATATAATGTAACACAATGAGCTTGTACACATAGTTAAGCTAGACATAAGTAACGTTCAGCCAATTGCCAGACAATGTTAAGATAATCAATGAGGTAGAAAGGAAGAAAACGACTCAAAGAAGGAAAAGGAGCCCAAGAAGACTGCCAAGGAGTCCAAGAAAGAAACCCCCAAAGCCGCAGAGCAAAACAAAAACAATGATCAGTCCACGATTGATCTCTTTACAGCCAAGAAAGCGGACACCAGCAAGAAAGAGAAGCCAGAAGTTAAGACTGCGGAGAAAGGCAAGAAGAAAGATCAAACCACAGACGATTCCAAGCCAAAAGAAGCTCCCAAAAAGGATACACCAAAAACCTTAGGGAAGCCAAAGAAGGAGGAATCAGTAGAAAAGAGCAACAAAGAAGAAAAGTCCCAGAAAGAAAAAGAAGAAGACTCACCTGCCGCCAGTAATCAAAAATAAACAAGCAGGAAGAGTAAAGGCAAAAAACAGAAGGAGGAGGTCAACCAGAAGGAAGAAAACGACTCAAGGAAGGAAAAGGACCCCAAGAAGACTACCAAGAAGTACAAGAAAGAACCCCCTAAATATTGTTTATTAATACGCTTTTTTACAGGTTCAACATTCGACGCAAGCGTTACATAGGAATTGGCGATAACACAACAGACAATCGGATACATGAGGTTGGCTATAACAGAGGCTCTTTCCAGTATACGGCCCTCTGTAGAGAAACTGACTCACATTATTGGCGTTGTTTAACAGATAACATGAAGAAGAGGACACTAACGGATCGCTAACCAACACATCATATGCTCCTATATATTGGACTCCTTCAAGCGGACGACGATTGATGGTATCAATGTTGTTTGATAGACGGCGCTGTAAAACTAAAGGCGCATTACACGTCCGTCTCTAGGTTACATACATGAACAAATAAGACATACCAAAGACAATTTGGATTATATTAAGGATAACGCAAATGTTATACCACACTAGTGATGGTAGAACAATAATAAGAAATGTTAATACTTAAGAATGTTAACCTAAGCAAAAATTGTAAACAAAGCAAAGATTGCACTATATAGATACTGCACTCAGAGCTGTAAGAATATGTTAAAAGTATCTTAAGTAGTCGTAAACAATGTATACACAATGTTCCGAACGATGTTATTAGTTTAAGCAACTGTTAAGCCGTATATAATGTAACACAATGAGCTTGTACACATAGTTAAGCTAGACATAAGTAACGTTCAGCCAATTGCCAGACAATGTTAAGATAATCAATGAGGTAGAAAGGAAGAAAACGACTCAAAGAAGGAAAAGGAGCCCAAGAAGACTGCCAAGGAGTCCAAGAAAGAAACCCCCAAAGCCGCAGAGCAAAACAAAAACAATGATCAGTCCACGATTGATCTCTTTACAGCCAAGAAAGCGGACACCAGCAAGAAAGAGAAGCCAGAAGTTAAGACTGCGGAGAAAGGCAAGAAGAAAGATCAAACCACAGACGATTCCAAGCCAAAAGAAGCTCCCAAAAAGGATACACCAAAAACCTTAGGGAAGCCAAAGAAGGAGGAATCAGTAGAAAAGAGCAACAAAGAAGAAAAGTCCCAGAAAGAAAAAGAAGAAGACTCACCTGCCGCCAGTAATCAAAAATAAACAAGCAGGAAGAGTAAAGGCAAAAAACAGAAGGAGGAGGTCAACCAGAAGGAAGAAAACGACCCAAGGAAGGAAAAGGACCCCAAGAAGACTACCAAGAAGTACAAGAAAGAACCCCAAAAATTTTATTAATATTTAGGTTCACATACACAAGAAAAAAAGAAACAAAAAAAAAAACAAACAAAAAATAAAAAAAACAAATATCCCAGCAAAAAAACCACAAAAAAAAAATTACTAAAAAAGAAAAAATAAAAAAAAAAAAAAAAAAAAAAAAAACAAAAAACCAAACAAAACAAAAAAAAACAAAAAAAAAACAAACAACCCAAAAACGAAAAAAAAAAAAAAAAAAAAAAAAGCAAAAAAAAAAAAAAAAAAAAAAAAAAAAAAAAAAAAAAAAAAAATTAAGGATAACGCAAATGTTATACCACACTAGTGATGGTAGAACAATAATAAGAAATGTTAATACTTAAGAATGTTAACCTAAGCAAAATTGTAACAAAGCAAAGATTGCACTATATAGATACTGCACTCGAGCTGTAGAATATGTAAGTATCTTAAGTAGCGAAACAATGTATACACATGTCGAACGATGTTATTAGTTTAAGCAACTGTTAGCCGTATATAATGTAACACAATGAGTTTGTCACATAGTTAAGCTAGACATAAGTAACGTTCAGCCAATTGCCAGACAATGTTAAGATAATCAATGAGGTAGAAAGGAAGAAAACGACTCAAAGAAGGAAAAGGAGCCCAAGAAGACTGCCAAGGAGTCCAAGAAAGAAACCCCCAAAGCCGCAGAGCAAAACAAAAACAATGATCAGTCCACGATTGATCTCTTTACAGCCAAGAAAGCGGACACCAGCAAGAAAGAGAAGCCAGAAGTTAAGACTGCGGAGAAAGGCAAGAAGAAAGATCAAACCACAGACGATTCCAAGCCAAAAGAAGCTCCCAAAAAGGATACACCAAAAACCTTAGGGAAGCCAAAGAAGGAGGAATCAGTAGAAAAGAGCAACAAAGAAGAAAAGTCCCAGAAAGAAAAAGAAGAAGACTCACCTGCCGCCAGTAATCAAAAATAAACAAGCAGGAAGAGTAAAGGCAAAAAACAGAAGGAGGAGGTCAACCAGAAGGAAGAAAACGACCCAAGGAAGGAAAAGGACCCCAAGAAGACTACCAAGAAGTACAAGAAAGAACCCCCTAAATATTGTTTATTAATACGCTTTTTTACAGGTTCAACATTCGACGCAAGCGTTACATAGGAATTGGCGATAACACAACAGACAATCGGATAACATGAGGTTGGCTATAACAGAGGCTCTTTCCAGTATACGGCCCTCTGTAGAGAAACTGACTCACATTATTGGCGTTGTTTAACAGATAACATGAAGAAGAGGACACTAACGGATCGCTAACCAACACATCATATGCTCCTATATATTGGACTCCTTCAAGCGGACGACGATTGATGGTATCAATGTTGTTTGATAGACGGCGCTGTAAAACTAAAGGCGCATTACACGTCCGTCTCTAGGTTACATACATGAACAAATAAGACATACCAAAGACAATTTGGATTATATTAAGGATAACGCAAATGTTATACCACACTAGTGATGGTAGAACAATAATAAGAAATGTTAATACTTAAGAATGTTAACCTAAGCAAAAATTGTAAACAAAGCAAAGATTGCACTATATAGATACTGCACTCAGAGCTGTAGCAGAATATGTTAAAAGTATCTTGTAGTCGTAAACAATGTATACACAATGTTCCGAACGATGTTATTAGTTTAAGCAACTGTTAAGCCGTATATAATGTGTAAAACACAATGAGCTTGTACATAGTTAAGCTAGACATAAGTAACGTTCAGCCAATTGCCAGACAATGTTAAGATAATCAATGAGGTAGAAAGGAAGAAAACGACTCAAAAGAAGGAAAAGGAGCCCAAGAAGACTGCCAAGGAGTCCAAGAAAGAAACCCCAAAGCCGCAGAGCCAAAACAAAAACAATGATCAGTACCACGATTGATCTCTTTACAGCCAAGAAAGCGGACACCAGCAAGAAAGAGAAGCCAGAAGTTAAGACTGCGGAGAAAGGCAAAGGTAAGAAGAGATCAAATTACAGACGATTCCAAAAAGAAGCTCCCAAAAGGAGATACACCAAAAACCTTAGGGGAAGCCAAAGAAGGAGGAATCAGTAGAAAAAAGAGCAACAAAGAAGAAAAGTCCCAGAAAGAAAAGAAGAAGACTCACCTGCTGCAATCAAAAAATAAACAAGCAGGAAGAGAAAGGCAAAACAGAAGGAGGAGGTCAACCAGAAGGAAGAAAACGACTCAAGAAGGTGAGAAAAGGACCCCAAGAAGACTACCAAGAAAGTACAAGAAAGAACCTAAATATTGTTTATTAATACAGTTTTTTTGTTCAAATATTATCTGACGTTATTTTTACATAGGAATTGGCGATAACACAACAGACAATCGGATACATGAGGTTGGCTAATAACAGAGGCTCTTTCCAGTATATTGCCTTCAGGAGGAAACTGACCTACATTATTGGCGTTGTTTCTTGAACAGATAACATGAAGAAGAGGACACTAACGGACTGCTAACCAACACATCATATGCTCCCATATATTGGACTCTTCAAGTGGACGACGATTGATGGTATCAATGTTGTTTGATAGACGGCGCTGTAAAACTAAAGGCGCATTACACGTCCGTCTCAGGTTACATACACGAACAACAAGACATACCAAAGACAATTCGATTATATTAAGTGATGTAACTGCAAATGTTATACCACACCCGTGATGGTAGAACAACAATAAGGAATGTTAATACTTAAGAATGTTAACCTAAGCAAAATTGTAAATTAAAGCAAAGATTGTACCATAGGATACCGAAAATTAGATAAGAATATGTTAAAAGTATCTTAAGTAGT